AGTATCAGTGTTACTGTAAGTAAAAGTATCTAACCCTCTCCAGGGCCCATTTGGACTCGGACTTCGCCCAGAAAGCACATGCGTTACTTAAGGCTTGGTAGTAATGTGTTAGGTAGTAGTAGGAGCGGGCCCCCCCCCCTTCCGAGAGCTCACGAGTTACGCAAATGGGTCCTGTTTATTTTAATATGATATGCCATAATTGGAAATTATGGGACAATATATGAAACATTACACAGATGTGTATAAGAGACAGGATTATGGCATACTATTAACAATACATTATTCAGCATCGGAAAAGTTTTCCAACGATACCAAACACGACTTTTTGGTGAGCTTATATACTTATTCATATTTTATACACATTTTAAGTATATTTTGCGGATATTTTAAAACAAATAAACACCTATTTTTTAATTATGTTCCATTCTGGCATGAGTGACAGTAGTTTTTATATGTCTGGTTTGTTGCCCGTATATAAATTATGATTTTAGACACCAACATCATATCTGTAGCTTATTTAGTTCCAATTATATGCGCATTTTAGATAAAATTGGCGGCCATTTTGAAAAATGGCCGCCATTTGTATACCAGGTGAAAAATCAAGTGTCAACAGGGCTTAGGGTGACCAGGACGGATTAATTAGGATATCTGGCTATGTTGACTGCTTCTAACATTCCACTCCCCCTAACTTGATTTCTAGGCCTCTTTTTTGATTTTTTTCCTAGTCTATAGCCTTTGCAAACATACATAAACATTAATAGGCCTATAAGATTTATTTCAAAATTTGTACACAGCAGCCAATGGCTGAATTCAACACGTTATTCTGGTTCAATTCCAAATTTGAGTCATTTAAACAGTCCAATTATATATAGGATTATGTATGTGTATAATATGATATATCATATCTTACTATGGCAACCAACTGAGCTATAGTGTCTTAAGAAATTGATTCGGTATCATAAACAAGCCCGGATTTTTATAGGGGGGTCTTTTGGATACTAAAAGGGCACTTGCGAGCGAAGCGAGCACCATTGGCTTGGGGGCCAGGGTGCCGCCACGGGCCCCGGTGGGGTCCAGGGGAAAGGCGCGGTGGGGGTCCAGGGGGCGAAGCCCCTGGAAGCTCCAGCATTCTAGACATTTACAGGTGTTATCTAATTGATTTGAGAGGCCATACATTTAAAAAAAAATGTATATATTAAAGAGGTAATTTTTTGAGTTAGGCAAAGATAAAAAAACAAAAAACAAAAACTACTAGTTTAGTATTACAGTACTGGTAAATTAACAAGAGCCTACATTAGCATGATACAAACTCCAAAGAAACCAGTAGGCCTATGTGGTTTATTCTTTATTTTTATTCTTTTTAAGAAATAAAAAGTACCGTATGGTTTATAGCACTTTGGAAGTTGTATCATACTGCACTCACTCAAGACAATCAGTAACATAAAAAGAGCCGAAACAATTTTTTATGGTTGGCTGTAGTGTATTATTATCCCGATTAATATAATATAATATAATATAATATAATATAATATAATATAATATAATATAATATAATATAATATAATATAATATAATATAATATAATATAATATAATATAATATAATATAATATAATATAATATAATATAATATAATATAATATAATATAATATACAGTAATATAATATAATATAATATAATATAATATAATATAATATAATATAATATAATATAATATAATATAATATAATATAATATAATATAATATAATATAATATAATGATTTACTAGTATGGTTTGTATGGTTGGTTGTAGTGTATTATTATTATATATATACCGTACAGGTGTGAAACTATCCCCCGCCGGACACCATCCAGGTATTTCTGAGTCAAGGTTTTCAGGTGCCTAAATGGTCATACTGCACAATAAAATATTGCATCCATAGTAATATAACATATGGTGGCCGATGATCGTATCGGGAAGATCGGCGATACGCTCTGCTGCTGCTGCCCTGTCCTGTTCCTATTTTGGGCGGTTAGCCCTACACGGTTGTACTGATTAAATAATAATGTTGTAACAGTTGAAAATGCCCTATTTTCATTTATTTTTTTATATTACTAGGTAGGCCTGACAATTGGGTATTAAAGTAGGACTTTTTTTAAATGATGATAGGCTCTAGGCTAGGCCCAAGGTGTAGGCTAGCCAGCCTTTGTTGAAAGGGCACTTCATGAAACCACCTGGCTACGGGCTTGATAAATGCGGACAGATTACTTATTGCACTTTGTACAGCCCAGACGTGAGCATTTCGTGCTGAGTTTTTTATCATGCCAAAACAAAGGTGGACTTATATATCATCTAGTTATCAGTGAATTTTAAATTAAAAAAATAAAAAATGTACCTCCTTGATAAATAAATATCTCAATGCACTTACCTAATAAATATCAGCAAGAGTAAATACAACATCCTTACTGGTTCCGATCGGCTCTGTTTGTACCAACTGCCTGTGATCTTTCCCACCTAATATAGTTTAAAATCGGATACAGAGGCACATTTTGTACCGGTAACTCCCACGATTGATAGGTCCTTTAGGAAGCAGGCACTCGAATGACCTTAAAAAGCGATTATTGATGCTTATGAGGTGATCTATAACACTAAAAATCCACAATAGGCTTATATTCATTTGTGCTGCCAGCATCGAGATTGTATCTCATCATCATCATCATCATCATCATCATATCATCATCATCATCATCATCATTATCATCATCATCATCATCATCATCACTATCACCATCATCGTGAACGATCAGTTCTTGGTTTTTGTCGAAATTGGACGAATGTTTGACCTCCCCATTTCCGGATGGTTTTGATATTTCATTATGCTCAAGTTTCCGATTCTTGGATAATTTAAAACATCTCAAGGCTATAAAAGTACAACTTCATACTAGTATAGTCATCATCGTCATCATCATCACATCTTCATCTACATATTCATAGACCAAAGCTAAACCTGATAATAATAATGATATGAGTTATAATTGTAGGATAGACTTTTGCGATTTACATCCTTCACGACTTTTTGACCTTATATTTTTCTGTCGATGGTTTTGTGTTGCACCTACGGATCACAAATGTATAAACCGTGTGTGAGAATAGTTAAATAGGGCCTAATGTTAATTCCGATGATATTCTATTACACCCAATTGCCCGATTCTGGGATAATTTACTAAATGCTAAAATAATTATGTTGAACTAGGTGTTACTTTAAACGCTTTCAAACCCAAACCAAAGACCTTTCTTTTCCATCAAGTTTTTCATTAATTTAACATGACATTCTTATTCTATTATTTATGTACAGCGCATTGAGAATTTGCTTACTTGCGCTATATAAGAATGAACTATTATTACTAAATCAAACATAATCGGTATTTTCATGATCTAAAAATATATAGGCCTACTGTATCTGCCAACTGAACTTAGGGACATTTCTGATACCAAAGTTTTAAAACGTACACCCAAGACTCACTTAATTGTTTGCCTACGGTACCTCCAATTTCATTTTGATGTGTTGGTTGTATGTTTTGTATTGTGCTTTTGTTGTTACTGTTTCGAATTGCTGTGGTGCTCGTGATTTCGTGTTTAATGCTGCCTGAGTGTTTCATTGAACAAGACACTTAGAGCCAAGCTTAAATAATGATACTCAATTATGCCATTTGACAAAAACGTTAATTCAATTCAATTCAAATCTGGTTTATTCAAAAATAAAATGGCATTGCAGAATAAACTGAATTGCGCCAAATTTACATTATTAAAAACATTCAGATACATAAAATGTATTAAAAGCTATAAAAAAGAATTAAAATGTTTAAAAAACAAACATACAAATACAAGATGAATGCATTAAAATACAATAAGATAACAGCAGTACAGCAAAGGCATATACAGCTAAAAAAAACCATAAAAAGAGAGTTTTGATATAGTTCAGAGTTTTTGTTGAACTTGAAATCTTTTTTACCATGCCTTGTCCGGTTTATTTTCGTTCTGTGTTGAGATCACAAACCATCAATCATGCTGAAATCTCACGTAAAAAATGATTTGAAGTTAATTCTAATTGGCTTTATTAGCTAATTCACAACTTTTTTTTAAATGCCGCTAAGCCCCCGCCCACCCCA